TAATACTTTAAAAATAGGTTTCTCTAATATACAAAGGGGGCCTTACAATTCATGAAAGACATTGTAACTTACACTCATAAGTAATACATTACCGATATCCTCTAAATTCTTATTCTTTGGTATCTTGGTGTTAATCGAAATACATTCAACTCAAGGGTGGTCAGCTTTCCTAGGCTGAAATTATCCTATTCGTGTGGTTTGCAGTTAATTTATTGTTATCTATTTCAATTGCAATCTAATTTATCGTTCAGTATCAAGTTAATCCGCATATCCTTTAAACCATTAACAAATTCAATTGTTATCCGATTTTGAGGGTAAACAATACTGCCTCCTTTTCTTGCAAAAACGTATGAAATTCAATTTTACGTATAGATCTGCAATTGATATTGGTTTACAAATTGAGTTTCAATCATACAAAACTTCTTAGTTAGATGAAGGATAAACTTCATACCTGAGATTTGAAGTTGGGTAGTTCTCACGAAAGTAAAATTTTGGCCCAAAGTTCTTAAGTTGTGAACTAACCAAATCTAACTTCAGCCCCCTAAGTTTTAACTGCTATTCAAATTTCAGTTACGCTTTGATAATTCAAAATTAAATCCTGAAGAACATAAGTCTGAAATTTGATTCAAAGATGGTTAAAATTTAGATATTTTATAATTTAAATTATGTTTTAAATAACGGTCCTACAACTGACTATTTGTGCACTTCACGCCTTTGAAGCATGGTATAATTGTTGGGGGGGAGTTAAGGTCGGACCAGACAATTTTACAGCTTTTGAATAGAGTTGGAAAGTGTAGCAAAGGAAAGGTATTGTTCGGAAAAAATAGGGAAGATACTGGAAAAAAAATATATAATGTACTTTTTAACACAATTTATTAGCTTGTTACAACAAGTAAATTTACATTGTGTTTCATGTTACTAACCAAACATTTTATGTACAACTACAAGTAGCTATGTGACCTAACAGTATAAAATATATTTTACCCCACATGTAGATATAAAACGATAAAAATTTACTCACCGCAGATATTTATACCCACATATAAGAAAATGACACATGTTATCTTATTTAACTACAAGCATTAATATTTAATCATAGTTAAATGTCATGTGTTTTGCACATTATTTTAAATAGTTACACTTAATATCTTTGTTATCTTCTAAGGTAATTTCTTGATCATCTACAAGGCTATAACTGGCGATTGCTTTTTTCTCAAAAGAAGGAATGCATTTCAAAAGTCTCATTTAGTTCGCACAAAACAAAGTAAGTCAAAATAAATTACAATTAAAAAAAATTCGCTTATTTTATTTTATAGTGTGGATTTGAGGCATATTTATTGTTCAATGACTATGTTTAATGATTTATTGAGGTGTTTTCGTTCAATAAATATTTTAACCTTAATAAAAAACACTACCTTTAATTTTGTATACCCTCATTGCAACACATTAAAAGATTAGCAAACTAATATCCTTCACATATTCCACTTGACTTTGCATCGTAACACTGTTATTAATCATAAAAAGATTATCAATCTGGAAAAGAAAATATTTTAACTTGTCTTCCCATTTTAAAGAGTGGCAACGCTTTCTTTACCGCATGGTGAGATTGAGGGGTGAAATTAAAAAACAGTCAGATTTATAAGTGGTATTTAAAAAATAGTCACAGTTTCAAAAATAATTGAAATTTAGTCACTTTTCATATAAAGATAAATCTGAACGAAAATACTGCTCAAAATCCGAAAAATATTCCAACATAATATACTGGAGTTCGAATTTTTTACATGTGAACTTCCAGCATAATATACTGGACCCTAGCATAATATGCAGGAAGTTCATACACAAGTGCTCCAATCTCCGGTATATTATGCTGGAACTTTCCGTGTGCTGGAGTTCCAACATAATATGCTGGAAGTTCATATACATGTGCACCAATTTCCAGTATATTATGCTGGAATTTTTCGTATTGCAGTAAAATAATGGTTATTTTTCAATGACTTTGCAAATGCTGGCTATTTTTTAATTATCAGTCCGAAAACTGGCTAGCCCGTGCTAGTTTTACGAGATTGAGGTTCTGGACCATATCTAAATAAGAGAAAATATTGGCCATTTTATAAAGAGATTTTACACAAATAGCCATCTGGTGTCATTGTCTGTTAAAGCACCTCGTATAAAATTTATACGAGGTGCAAAAGAAATATTTATTTGCAATTTAAACAACTAAATCAAATCCGACTTGTAGACACATTTTACTCAAAAAACAATTTGTTTTTTGTTCTTTTCAATTTTCTTATTCTTATTATTCCTGTTATGCTTTCTTCCTTCTTCGCTATTCGAGCAAAAACAACTGAGAAAAATCTCAGAATAAGTTAATTACAAACTGTAAACAAGCTTTGGACGGAGATGGCGGAAGCGATAACGGAGAGAAGGGGAATACCGGCGGCGTCATTTGTACAAGATGTTCAGTCCTATCTTACTCAATCTGGTCTTGATGTTAACTCTGCTCTTGCTTTTCTCCAAGAAAGGTCTGTTTTTGATTTTATTTTTTGGTGTATAAAATACGTAGGTGACATTTAAATTTCCCACAATGAGTTGTATAGAGTATAATGATAGTGATTTTATTGATATTTTTCAATATTTCATTTTATAGGTTGACAATATTAAGTGAGATATAGACAAATGTTTGAATAATTGAATTACCAGCAATTACCTTTAAGCTGAACTGGTTTTGTAAATAGTTTTCACTTTTCACACGTCGGTGCGTAGAGCTTGATCTTTTTTCCTTGACGCTATTAATTAATTAGAAATTGGTTGATCACTATCATGTAAAGTTTCAGTCTTTAGTGAAATTGTAACTGCTCCGGAGTTCTGTATATTTACCTTTTATCTTTTTAATTTGGGTATGGAATAAAAGGTAAAGATCAAACCTTTAATGTAGTGTTCTTGTGGGAGCTTACAACAACAACAACAGATCCAGTGTAATCTCACAAGTGGGATATGGGGAGGGTAATGTGTACGCAGACCTTACCCCTACCTTGAGAAGGTAGAAAGACTGTTTCCGATAGACCCTCGGCTCAAGGAAAGATTCTTGTGGGAGCTTACTTGTTACATTAGCTCCTTTTAAAAAAACATTATGGCAAATGGTTAATAGGACCTTTACCCCTAAATTTGCTGTTCTTTATTTACTTAGGGCTGCTGAGAAATCAAATGCAATGTGAATTTTTGGAGATCATACTTTAATAGGTAGGTTTGGATTTGACAATTGTTGGCCTGAAATCGAGTTGAACTATGTGGTTGAGTAAGTTTTGTTGAAGGATGATGATTAAAAAGAGGCTTAATACATCGTTTACCCCCTGATCTTGTACCGAAATCCCTTTGGTACACCCCTATTTCACGGGAAACCTTTTACAAACCAAGTGTTTTCCCGAGTGTGTCTAAACTGAATAGGCCTTAGAAATACTGATTCACTGATAAGAAGTGTGGCGAGATCTTATTTTAGTATGACGGAATAAAGAGCACAAGCACTCAAGAAGTAGAGAAGGAGAAGCTGAAGAGGGATAATAGGCCACTACAGCCTTACAGAAAATAAACCAAATCTTGTGCAATTAGATTCTTAAATCCGTTCATGGCTAAATAAAACTAGTATGACTACAAACATGGAAGTGTGTGTATGTCTGTTTGCAATGACTGGAATTTGTGGTTCTTCAGAATCTGTGTTGTTCTCGTTATTAAAGCCCCATAATCTTTTTTTCCTTTTATCGTTTTACTGAGTCTCTTTCCCTTCCGAAGTGTTGGTAGCCTGAACTTGTAATTTCTTCTTTGCTTCGAAATTTGTGTACAGTTTCTTGTATCATCTATCCAAAGTGTCTAACCAAAATGTAGCAGAATGCATGCTCTTTTAATTGCGTAAAAGTTCACTATAAGCAGATGACAGAAGTTTGACTAAAGAGACCTCTGAATTCGGTTGATCAAAGAGTACATATTTGGCATCATTGCATGTTGTGTCCTACTTGTCATTCAGAAAATAGAAATGAAACTGTTCCTTTGTTGTTTTGGGCTTTTTGGCCTATGATACAGTCGAAGTTTAGAACTCATACAACAAAACTTTATTAGTACCGATTTCGTGCAGGCTGTTAACTATTTCTATCACTAATATATCATAAACACCAAAAGCAGAATCCATTATATGAGCACACACTAATTAGTCCTGCTTTAGAAATTTCAGTCAGTGGTTAGTTTACTTACGGTCTCCTTTTGTTTTCTGAATACATGTCGTTCATTTGCAGACTTCAGCAGTACCGAGTGGTTGAAATGAAACTTCTGGCACAGCAGAGGGATCTTCAGGTACGCTGTTTTTGTCTAGTTTCATAGTATTCATTTCAATTTAAGCAACTCTTAATATGAGTTTCCAGGTTTTACGTATGCTTGAATTGAAGAAATATGCCATAATGCAATTCAAATGGAGAAAATGTTCATGTGTCACTCTATCCTTTTATTGTTCTTGAAAGTGGACAGGAGTTAGAGAATTGTACTTTAGTCTTTGCATCTAGTGTTGTCGATTCTGGAGATTACCTTAAAGACTTAGTGCTTTTGGAATCTGTTGCTCCATGCAGAAGCTATATATAGGATTGAATTCTTAAGCACATGCTCGGACTTTGTTGTAACAGGGCCAACATGTGAGGGTTACAGTTTTGCCATTCTTCAGACCGACTTTTTACAATAAAAATGCCTCAATCGCGAGCTAGTTGGGGTATGAATCCTCAAAATATAGAAGACTAATGACCTTTTACAATTTCGTAAAAGGTATCTATTATATATAGGTTAGGTTTCTCCACATTTAAGAGCTGTCAGTACGGACTGTTTAACGCAACTCATGATTCATTTTAGAATTTGATAACAGAAGAGAATTTACAAGTTAACAAGTAGAGGTTGAATTCATATCATAATCTTGCCAGGGGGGTGGGGGGTAGGATACCTGCCCAATATGAGAAAGTTAATTGAAATACAGACAGGTTAGATTAGTGTAGACAGAAGAAAGTCAATCCAAAAATTTAAAAATCACTCTGGCCACCTATGAAGCACTTGTTGAGCTACCAAACAAAAACCAAGATTTGAAAGGTGAAACTTGCCTTTCCTCTGAAAGTGCTGTCTCCTTCTCTTTGTCGGAATGGACCAAACATGCATAATAGAACGGTTCCAACAGTAATGGTATGAAGGAATTTGCATACATAACATATTGTAAAATCTGGCGGTGTCCCCTTTATCCAGCCTGCTAAGTATAGACTGCCCCATACATTTTGCCAAATTTGGTTTTCAACATTTATAAGTTGCTGTTGTGATGTTGTATTGCTCAAATGGGTTGAATTTTACATGTTTGACATTTCTTCTGTGATCAGTCTAAGTGATTCTGAAAGTTTCTTGCTTTAGCTGGCTTGATGCTTTTATATGTTTCATGCTAACATGTGGAGAATTGACTAATCCTCGTTCACTCTACACAGGCAAAGATTCCTGACATAGAGAAATGCTTGGGTATAGTTGCTACTTTGCAAGCTAAGAAGGACAGCAGTGAGGTTTGTCCAAGTGCTTCTTTTTATCAAGTGAAACTTCCTTGATGCACTCCTAGACATTTGCATATTAGCTAATTCTTGAGATAGTAGTCTACCTTTCCATTTTTATTTATTTAGGTATGTAATGTGAATGCGAGAAAGCAAGAGGTTTTCATATCAAAATTCGTATTTAGATGATATAGTGGTGAAGCAGTCCAGAAAATTGAATACTTTCTTGAAATTCAGATTTACTGTGGGAGAGAGTTCTCCAGTATTCACTAAGTACAGTGATAACTGCTATTAGCTAACAATTGGTTGGACCCCTGCAATCCTGTATCCTTCACTGGCGCCTAACTTGGGCATCCTTGCATGGGTTAGAAATAAGATAATAATGGTACTGAAAGTACTATTTGAACACGACTAGAAGGTTCAGGATTTTGAAGGAGCTACAACCTGAAAGTTTTTCTGTTCTAGAGAGAAGTGAGA